ATCACATTTTCCTCCTTCACATCTTGGACAATCTTCTTCGCTTCCACCGTCTTAGCCAACGGCAGTCTTCTAGGTGGCCGTATGAATGTTTAGCATTTCAGCAACACTCCTTATACTCAAACGATGACCACCGCAACAACCTCTCGAATTTTTGCGACAGTTTCGTCTGTGCTATTGATGGCAAATTGAAATTATTATGGCACCCTTAAAATACATAATTCACGTAATTCACGGCGATTGAGAACCATTACAGTCGCTAAATATTCTTCTGGAGTCGCGTCGATCCCATAGTCTGGTCTGGATACTGGATTCCCCTGGATCAAGGTTCGCATTCGTGGTAATATAAAGTATGGAAGAATGGATAATGGTCTCAATATACAGATGAATTTGCCTTACGGGATCTATATGGTTTAGAATTCTCAAAATGTGGAAAGGGAATATTGGTTTTCCGGCCGGAGTAAAATTAAAACTTCATTAATTAATTTCTCAGTTTCCGGTCATCATAAAAATTCATGCTAATTAAGCGCGCTCCATTTGACATCAAACACAATCTAATCAGACGAGGTTTGCTGCAGGTTTTCAGTCCAGCTTCAACTGAACTGTGCCACATGGGCTGGCTGTGCCGAGTCAAAATACCAAAATTCGGTAGACTGACTGATACCTGGAATTTCGGGTTAACCGCAAAAGGGCTGCGATAAACCGAGTAAGCTGTACGACCTTGCAGTTTTAATGCTTGTTTTCGCTTAACATTGGGAAACAAAAGCAAAAAGGGAACTCAAATCATACAATATTACTTTTCTCTCGTCCTTCAAATGACGAGAGCTTTCGGAGGCTGACAGAATAATTAAAATATTTCTCATAAAACTGAATAATTAAATACAGCATGTCAGTTTCCTTATCGGCGGCCAAAATGATGCCACAAATTAAAGCAATTGCTTTTACCTTCTATTTGCAACTCCTAGAAATGAAATAAATAGGTCCGGAAGTTACCATTTTTTGTTTGTAAAGAAGCGCTCGTTTGAGTTCGTCCATGTACCGGGTGTTCACTAAAGCTGGTAGCCTTTCAGTCATGTACCAGGTGTTCATTAATTCTGATCGAGTTACATATGCGTTATTTGCAATGTACGCGTACGATTTTTATTTTGTGTGAAATTGACTTTTCTGTTTTTAGTTGCACAATTTTAACACCAACGTTAAGTCACCGTCGCTCAATTTTGCGAAAGAAAACCAGTGGTAAACCGCTGCCTCGAAAACGCACCGACTTTCCTTGAGGGTAAAATTGCACGTTAACGAATAACTTTATTAACACGTCGCCGTCAGTACACTAACTTTGGCTTCTTCCGCGATTAACAAAAATCCCAGCGAAAGCACCGTACCCTAAAGCTAGTAATGCTGGACTCCTTTCAATCCTTCTAGTAACTTTGCGATCGAATTTTCGTAACCGCAAAGTTAGCGGACAGCCTACACGCTATGGCGACTGGTCCCCTAATATCTCTCCCCTTTCTCTTTTTACTTCGCTATTTATGTGGCCGCTTAGAGAAAACATAAGGGACCCAACGCAAATCTCGTGACCAGCGTCCCTTCTCAGCCAATTGCCAACCCGCATTAACGGCTTTACTCAGACGGAACCAACGAAGCTGAACGTTCCACTGTTTTGTAAAAGACGTTTGCTATCGCTTTTAAATCTACGCGCGCCTACTATTCGTATAAAGCGGGACATTCATGCAATGTTACACATAGCTAGAAAATATAACCGGCTTAACGGGCTCCGCGATATCGTAATAGATCAACCGCTCGCTCAAAATTCTGGAGCGCGTTATACGGTTCCGGTCACAAAACCCAGCCTACCAATGCCGAGCGAACCGAAGGCGAGATCGGCATAAATCAACCGCTCGCCCGAAATTCTGGAACGTGTTATACGGTTCCGGTTCATAAATAAAATAATCACGGATTTAAATTTACGTTCCAATATATAATATAACGGATGTTACAAATTTTCCTTTTCTCCTACTTCTTCTGGTTCATAAAATTGGGGGTGATTCTTGTGATGTAGTTATATTAATATGCCTCGGCTGCTCGTCGGTTAATAACCCTCTTCTGGCCTCAAGGATAAGGGGAAAAGATGAAATAAATCTTTAAAAAATCTTTATTCAAGGTTAACGGTTCTTATTTTCCTTGAGATATCGTAAGATAACACGTTTTATTAAATGGGGTTGAGGCGAAACGATTGCTTGAAAGGTAAACACGTTTATAAATATCTTGATTGTTCTGCACTACGAGTTCTCGATGTGCTTTTGTGGATGCTTTGATGTAAAGCCCTCTGGATCCGCCCCCAGAGTTTGGATGTAGTTAAGCGTCCACGGACCGATGGCAACCTGTAAGCTTGCGTTATCTTTGATTCGCTGCGGGAATGAAATTTGCTCCCCAGCTGTACTTTGCACGGACCGGTCACGAAATGCTCTCACTGTCCTCTGTTGTGAAAAATTTCGAATCCCTCGTTCTCAAAATGCTCTCGTTCCGACACTGCTACGGCTCTATGGAGATGGAATTTGGTTCTCTGTATACTTTTCGTTCTTCTATATATCGCCATGAAGACAATTCACTTTGGATGCGCAGATTCCGCGTTTGAGCTGCCCTTCACTCCCGAACACGAATTCACTTGTATTTATACCCTCTCTCTTAGTATCTATTGTAATTAAGTTCCACCTATCCGACTACCACGAAACGTTTATAAGGTTTGCGCAGTTATTTTACAAGCTTTTGTTACTTTGGACTTTGGATTGAATAGACGCATTTGAACAGACTCTCCTTGCGTTCATTATAGTGACTCATGCAATGACCTTGTCCTGAATATACATACGTAAAGCAGATTTTATGATCCTATTTATTTACTACCATTGCATTGCTAATTCACTTTTAACTTTCTCACGGTTAAATGATATCCCAATTCGGGTCAAAGTAAATGAAACAAATATCAACTTCCTTCAAATGCTAAAATACAAATATGCGTACGTTCCAGGTTACATGCATATACAGTGAATTTTTTTTAATGCGAACATAGGAGTTTGCATGCAATGTAATTTTCCTATGTTCGATTTTAAAAAAATACACATCAATCTATTGAGTAGTTCAAATGAGTAGTAGATACAATTGACAGCTGTCACATTTTTAAAAATACCGTCGTCCAATTTAATTACGAAATCGGTTAGGTTATTGCTTAGAATGTCAAGGAGGACACTTCGAACATTCATTGTAATTGTTTGCGTTATTTATTTTCTTATTTTCTTCATTTATGTATTGAATAGATCAAATTAGTAAAATAACAGGTGCAGATGACCTAAAAATAATTTACGGTTGGTTCACAATGAGTTGTGGTGTCAGTGCGTGGCCTGTGAGGTCAAGAGTTATCGTAAGTTTAAGAAAAATGTATCCTAAAGTTGTTATGGCCTCATTTGGCTTCTTTAAAAAAACTCTTTCCGAGTGCTCTTCATCATAAAGACTATAGAGTTGCTGTTCATAGTCACACAAGTTGCGCGATTTGGGAATGTGAACCGCGCACACCTCATAAATTGATGTGTTTTTTTTTAAATCGAACATAGGGAAATTACATTGCATGCAAACTCCTATGTTCGCATTAAAAAAAAACTCACTGTATAAACATAGCTTACGCATTTTTAACAACTTTCTGTATAGGGAAATTCCGTTACACACCTGGCATAAACAACAGTTGTAAAAAAAATCTCTTTTTAAGTGGTATCAAAAATACAAAAAAAATATAGGGTGTTCCATTAAATAATACCATGTCGACTGGTTATCAGGGTCCTAGTCCATTTTCAATAGTTTGGACGCTATCGGACTTGTACAAAAGAAGATCAATTATGGACTATTTACCAACTTTTCCTGATCGACTCTACAGGGTGTGTTTTTTAATTCAATTTTGCACTCTAAAATTCACTTCGGTATTGATCAGTGCATCAGTTCTTTATCTTCACAGATTAGCCACCGATTAGTTCTATGAGTTGTAAATTCACAGCTGAGAATTTCTTCATGAATCACTTTTTGCACTTATGTAAGAATGAAATATCACTGGTGGAGTAATTCATTTTATGTTCTTGTGAAGAAATCTTTCGCTCTGTGAAAATAAGTGTAATGCAATTTCAAGTAAGTACAAATTTTGCAGTCGTATTTCCGGATTCCCTACCATTTATTTTGCACATAAGAAAGAAAGTATGTTAAGTTATTATTACTCACATGTCACATACATTTTAAGGGAGTAGAATTGAATGTCATATAAATTGGAGTAGATTCATTTTAAACTGCAAATTAGTGAATAATTTTCAAAAATGTTGTGGTTAATTGAAAAAATTACAGCTCTTTCGATCCTCGCCACGTAACAAAGCGTGTGAAAAATTGCGTAATGGTTTACAATGCAAAAGGAAAGGTAAAACACTTGTAAAAAGCGTGTAATGTAAGATTGGTTCTTCTGGGCAAAAAAAGGGAGTAACAACGTACACGATTAATAATTATCCGCAGTGAATTCAAAACACAGTTGGCTCGGCTTTGTTTCTAATCCTTCATTAAAACTAATGCCTCGGCATTATGTTAGGGAAAAACATCTTCAAAGGAAGCCAGCATGACTAATATTAAGGTATAATTACGGACATAGTTCAATTAACGTAAACTCTTCTTCATACAATTCCGCGCGCCTTACTATATAATTACGTGAATTTGGAAACGTGTATTTTATTATATTACGTCATTTGTTATAACTATAAAAAAATGTACTCTTCTCACACAATCGGAATGGAATGTAGTCACTTTGCTAATAAAGTTAATTATATAACTAACAACACGGGCAGGTGTAAGAAAGTGAAATGGAATTCCTCTTTGAAAATGGAGCGCTCGTTTATATGGGCACTTATCGCCGGCGCATGTTTATCTACTTGTTTCGCAATCGGTTAGTTTTACAATTGTCTTAAATAAACAATTTTTGTTTACAGGACGGAATGTGCCCGGGCTGCGGGCGGGTAATTACCATTGTGCAAGTACTATGGAGTTTGATCTATGTAACTTGTGGTGCCGTTCAACTGGTGGCAGGCATCTTTTTCATCATTTCCATTCCTGAATTTTACCTTCACAGTAACATATGGACTGGAGCTTGGGTGAGTTGCAAATTAATTATTAGTTAATCACTCATCTTCACACGTTTCGATATCACAAAAACCGGGAAGAAAAACTGTCGTGTAACGTCATCACTTTTTTAAACATAAGTACGTACCCTTCAGGGCCCTGGAATACGTAAACGGGAGAAGCTTCCAACACGGTCGGCTCAGACAGTCAAAACTACAGTGACTCTATACAAGACAGTGGCGACAATAGATGTCTCATTTTTGATTGGTTGTTGAATCACGTAATACGAGGCAGCCATTTTGTGGCAAACTTTTAAATTTCTTATATCACGTCATTTAATGGCATATACAGTAACAGTTACTGTAATGTCGTGTGTTTATTTATTAGTTTTGTAATACATATGTTTATTTATTGCTCCTCTCTTGTCCTGGGCCTTCAACAGAATTGCGCCCAATTACAGAGAGACCCCCATAATGCTCCTTACCTGTTGTTCATTTGTGTGCGCAAAACACAAATTACTACTACGACACTGATAATTATAGGTATAAATTATCTGGCAATGAGGCGATTTGCGAAGGACCCAGCAAGACGAAAAGAGTGAGTAACCAGAATGAAAAGAGAACATTTCGCACTAAATTGTGTCTTTTTTCATTGTAGTATAGGACCTAGAAACAACTCTATTTTTGTTTTACGCGCCATCCCCCGAGTAAGGCTTCACAGGTTGAAAGACAATGATCTAAATGATCAAGTTCGGTCGACTTTCCCACGCGTCCGTCGATGGTTGACTGACGGGCGCGGAGCGTCGTGTCAGTCCGAAGGACTCGCAAAATCGTTCGAATGGTAATAGCAACAAGGGAGAGAGGGGGCAGGGGTACAAAAGGCATGTACGATCGCGCCGACTACGCGTGAATCGTGCCGTCGAGCTTCCACCTCCGTGCGTTCTTTCGGCTATTAAGCAAGACAGGTTTCGTGGCCCGTTTCCCGAGCAAAAAGTACAGCAACGACCAGTAACTCCTGTGGCTCCACATTTGTAACAAATCAAAAGGTTCAGGGCAGTCCAGACGGTTATGTCCTAATCGTTGACAATTGAAACAGGGCGACTCTCGTGTTTCCATCGAATGAATGGGAAAACGTGAGGTGGTAGGTCTTTGACTGGTACAGCTAAATCCTGGTTCCAGTACATGCGCAAATTGGTTTCAAAAAGTCATTTAGGTAAACTGGTTATAACTAATATTGAAAAATGTCTTTAGGAGTTCGATTGTTACACTCGTACTACCATTCAAATTTAAAAAATCCATTCAACAAGAGTTTGTGAGAGTGCTGCAGACATCTCAAATTGCAGGATTGATTTATCAGTTTGCACAATTTATTCGAAACAAACAAGTCGACATAACTTAAATGTCTTGAATATATCTAGCCGTTCTTACAACGGTGACCAACCTTTGGACTTTGAACGGCGACCGACGTTTGGACTTTGAACGGAAACGAACCTTCGGACTTTATTTACATTGTTTTATTTAGTTTTAAAAGTCCTCGTTAGGAGAAGAGCGAGATAAATTTGACCCGAATTTCACCTTATGGAATTTTACATGTAGTTGAGCTAAGGTATCACCCTTATTCCTCACTTAACTTGCCTCTAAAATTTATGGAAGCCACAAAAAGCCTATTATAGCTCTTTCCATTGTACCTATGGTGGAAGGAAGAAATAAGAAGAAATTCTGAGAACGTCAACGGAAACTGTAGGGAAGTAATGAGGACTGTTAAATAAAGAGACTTATGTAAATTTAAGAAGAATTAAAGCAATGTGTTGTGACAAGCCACCAAAAACCTAATTTCCCAAATACCCAATAATTTATAACAAATATAAATTAGCTTCGAGATTTATTGATCGTCAAAACAACACTCTCTATGCTGTTAGATCTACTTTTCTACCACTAATTTGTTACTATCTAATTGTATAAATAAATAACGGTAATTACTGCATCACATAATTGTTATAAAAAATATTTAATGAACAATATTATCAACCAACGTAAGCGTTTACCGTGAAATTTAAATTGTTAACTGAATGGATTTAATATTCCCATCGCATCATCGTGATTAGCTTCTATGCATCCTTGAAGGTTCACAATCGAGCATAAAAATCCCAGTTTATATTTTTGACAGACAAAGTCTTTTTCTTGTGAGAAACTTCCGTTAGAAATGAAAGTATTATGCAACTTTCTTTCAATGATTATTAATAAGTGTACTTTAGGACTTATTTCCACATGCGCATTTTTAACGTTAAATCTCATTGCTAAACAGGGTAATTAAAAGGAAAGTGTATTAGTGAAGAAGCAATTACATCGACGACTTCTGGTTTTCAGCATTTTTTAGACCTTCAACTTCACGCTCAGATGGTTTGGTTATTTTACATTACATCACTTGGGAAGACGAATAGGAATAATAATGTTCAGTCTGTGTTTTTAATGTTTGTAACGGCTAGTTACAAAATCAAAACTGAAATGCCCCCTGGTACTAAATAATAATTCTGATTTTCAAATGATACAAACAAATGTTGCTTTTTTGCAAATTTGATCCGACGCGGACGGCTGGGTCAATATAAAGAAATTGTTTAAACGAATTTTTCCCGGAGACAGGACATTTTTTTTCTCTACTCTTGAAAAATCAAAATCGTCGCACTTCGTACCGCCTTTGGAACATCTCGTTTTCTTGGATACGCTTGGGTTCGAACGCTTCTCTTTTGACAAAATAATACACACCCTACGGCAATTTACAGGTGATTGACTTAACTTCGCTTACGGTTCAACGCTCAAAAAATTTTTTCCTGTAACCTGAGACAATCACGCCGTATCCCACTACTCGTAGGTGTCGAAGGCGTTTAAAAAGTCAGGGCCGTATTTAAGGACTACTTGCCCACGTAACACAACCAAAAAATCATTCATCATTTTTCAGCGAAGATTTCAGAATGCGAAACTACCTGGTAATTATTTACTGCTGGCAGTTGTATGGTACGTAGAACTGGTTTTTTTTCGTATCAGTATATATCATATATGAGGTGTAGGCTAGAGAACGCTACATACTCGTATTTAACAGGCAGGCTGCCTATCCACCCTTCATCATTGATGTTGTTCTAGGCACTTGATGAAATTCATTCTTTGGGAATGCTTTGACATTTGATCAATATAGAACTCAATTTTTTTCTAACGCCGCCCCTTTGTGATCTTCAACCATGTAATAGATCAAGGTCAAATCCTGGCCACGGTACTAAAAATTCTGTAATTATCACGGTTGCAGCCGGTAAACGACTGAAACCCATGGCACATCGTCAAGTAACAAACCTGTTTAGTGGTAGGATCTACGTTGTGTTGTGAAACGAGTAGCTCGAGGATATGTACAGTAGCGGCCAAAAGTTTATCACAATTTCATTTTTTTATTGTAACACTAGCATTTATTACGGTTGACAATAAAATATTATGTTCTTTAGAGTCATCAATTCAAGTCAGTCAGCCACTATTTGTTGTAGGGATGTAGGGATCATTTTTTTAAAATTATTTATCAACACCTGATAATTCTTATTTATTGTCGACAAAGTATATCGTGATACATTTTTGGCCGCTACTGTAATTATAAAGTCAATCAAATTCAAATCAGAGTTGTCCTCTCATAATTACACGAGAATAGCTCTAGGGACTTCAATGGTGACATTGATTACAAGGAAGGAAAACAGAACTTCCAGAGTATGTACTCACTTATTTTCTCACTTCTTTTCCAATGTGCATTTTACATCGCTACTTTCTCTTTTTGTAGTTTGAGAAAGAATACGTGACGCGCATTCACTTACGAACTCTCGTCATTGTGCAATTTGAATTGTTAATATTCGCGGTAAAACATTTCCAGTGGCGTAGTTTACGTTTTTCTTCTTAAATGGAATGCATAAAAGCGGGAACGATTCAAATTCAGATAACTTGCTGTTGTTCTTGTTCTAATTTTTCATTTATATTTTGCAGTGAATTTGATTCCTTTTGGGTATTTAAATACTGACGAGCGATTCTTCGTGGTTCGCTTTCTGCATCATTCTCTCTTGTAATATCTGAAGTTTCGAGTGCGACTCGCTTGTAATATGTTTCGAGTTTGGCTCCTGTGCTTTAAGAAAATCTTCTTGTGGTTAAACTAATGTTTCTTCTCTTCCTTTCCGTTGCAAATTACTTCGGTTTCTTCTAGTTTTCTACTTTCCCATCTTCTATTTCTGTATTTGCGTTTTTTTTTAATTCTTAATTTATTAGACGAGTTTGCTCCTGAGTCCGCTGTACTTGTTGCGAAACCAGTGGAGCTCCTGATCCCCGGTCCGGCAGTTTTCAGCCGGCGGATAGTCAGATTCTCTTTTTCCTTCATACCTTCTATTCTGTCCATTACTTCCTCTTTCCCTTTCGTAACTATTATAACTCCCTCTAATAAAACTTGTTTTTGGATTTCGGTTTTTTTTGGTTGTGTCTTGGCTCGTGTTGATTTGTGGTATATTGCTCTTCAATGTTTGCGTTTTGAATCGTCTCTAGGATGTTGATCCTATCCAGATGTTCTCCACCTTCCTGCGAAAATGTTAGGTTACCGCCTCTACCAGTTATGCTTCAGGTATTGGGGTTTGAATGGGCGGTTTTACTGACCCAATATCATACGTGATCCGTATACAAGATTATCAATTTAACTTTGAAGATCGGCACTTTTGTAATAGTCTGCTCAAGACTTTTACGGTATTTATTAAGAAGTAGGTATACATGTATTGTATTTCCCTATGTCTACTTTTAAATTTCAAAATCTCTTCCGAAGGACGCCTAATTTTATGCAACCAAAATAACTTCTTAAAGAAATGAAGATCTGACTGTCATAATTATTACTGTCAATTTGAATATTGTTGATTTGTTATTACAGAAAATAAATCTCTTAGGCTCCTTAAACTGTTACCGGCAATATACCAATTGGCAATACCAACTTTTTCTTCAGTTGAATATATCGTACACGAATGGAAATAAAA